GTTGGGATCCAGATCCATGCCTAAGTTTAAATGCCAGGAAAATATTTTAAAGAGCTTGTATCAAAGATTTCAAAAATGAGAAATTTTAAGAGTACCTAGTGCTGGCTTGACGGTACTCCCACTGGATATGACTTTAGCATTAACTTTGGTGGCACCAAACAAGGCCAAAGATGACTCTCCTTGAAAATCCCACCCACAGCTCTTTTCCTTTCCAGACTAATGTTCGTTCAAATTTATTCTGCAGACAAAACTGTGTGGAGTTTTACCCAATATTCCTGACTGGCTCTGGACTGCAGGATGTTTTTCAATCAAGGTAAATACTTTCTGCTTTTATCTTGGACTGACAAGTTTTACATAACTTTTTAAAATGTTGGGATTATCAGGAAGTAATTGACTGTAGACATCTTTTCCCCTGCTTTTAATTAACACAGCCTTCCTAGAAGAACACTCAGTGACACTGAAATCCCCATGGCATTTCACAGAGCCCCACCAGCTTTCCCTTCTCTCTCCAAACCAGGGAGCTCTCATAGAGTAAAACTTGGGACAGTTATTATTAACCCTTTCCCAACTAATGTTTTAGAAGCATGAAATCTGTGGGCTGGTGAAAGGATAACCAGCTCATGTCCATATTCCTCTCCTTCCTAAACAACTTCTCCATTTCTCTCTGCTCCAAACCATTAATTTTTTGTTTGGGGCTTTCTTACAGTCCCATCTCCACTGCAAATTCAAAGAAGCACCACTTAAGTCAACAAAATGATATGAAATAACACACGTACTCATGGACAGACACTTGAATCAGGGAAGATCACAGCTGCTAGCCAGCAACACAGGTGCTGTCACATGTGAGAAATGAAAGATCATGATAACCTTCCCTTGAAGTAATGTTTCAGCTGTGTCCCACAGGTATATTTACAGGAGTTAATCCAGCACGCAGTGAAAGCTCTATAATACACACACAGAGGTTCAAACCACAAAATTAACAAGCACTGCTTAGTCCTGGATAACACAACTGACCTCCATACCCTGCCATCAATCAAGTGGAGGTGACTTTATACTCTTCCCTCAGGGAGGTCAGAAAGCTGACTTCACTACAGTTTCCTTTCCTGTCCTTGGATAAAAGCTGCTATATAAATGCAAAGCAGGTTATTAACAACATAAGCAGGATTCTCTCCCCAAAACAAACACCCCCCTTAGCACAAACTGCCATAATAATACAAAATGACAGAGCTGGGTCAAGCCACAGTGCTTCCACCCACTGTCCTGTTCCTGGGATAATGACCAAACTGGGGGGATTAGGATTCCTGTCCGTTCTTGAGATGTCCCTTTGAAGGAATGCTTTTGGATATTTTTGGGCAGTCCTACATCCACCCCTATCTGTAAACCCATAGAAAGAGCCTCTTGCAGTGACTGTGTAAGAATACTTATATCTCTTTTGAATGATTCTTTCCCAAGGTAACTTCCCACATTATGGGTAGCTGTAAAAATTCCCAAAGCAATATAACTAGAAAACATAACTAGAGTGGTTAACTGTCTACAATCCTCATTTTTTTTTTGTTTTCCCCCACCATATTAATCTTTTCTTTCTTAGAATTAGCTTCCTTTTGGAGTATGCTGTACAAGTACTTCCATGGTTCTGTCCAGTCTGTGAAAGGAAGGTAAGAGGTTCCCAACTGGATGCAGGTTAACAGCTCCAGGCTGTGGTCTGCAGCTGGGCTGAAAGCCAAGGGCTGGCAGTGAAAAGTGATTATAATTGAATGCAATGGGTCTGGCAGCCCTCAGGGCAGAGGGCTGGGTGTTAGAGCAGAAGCCCCAGTTGGGATGTGCATGTGCTGCAGGCCAGGAGAGAGGAGAGTTTTGATGCTCACCTTGTGGGCATGTGCTTTGCTCCAAACTATGTAACGGAGCCAAAATACAGACTAGAGGAGGTCCAAAGCCCATCTACTGATTCAAATGGGTCTTTCTTTGCCTCTGAAATTATTCCAACCTTACCTGTTATAGTGCTTTGATGTTTTACCTTCTCTTCTCTTCCTCGCCTTACCTCCTCTCTCCATGTATGGACAGGCAATACATGTCCAACATGTCCAACAGATCTACGTGCACATTCCTAAAGGCTTCTGACAACACAATTCTCACATTGTTGCAGTGGTAGGTGATAGGGAATTACCCTAAGCCTGTGTCTTTATCCTTCTCCAGTTTTCCTTCTCCTTTCTCCAACTTTTCTGTCCAGCTACGCGTTTCCCTTCTCCCTCCCCACCTCGTCTCCACCTTGTTTCCCCCCTGGAAGCACCTCCCCACTCCCTATATTTGCTGATTCAGACCCACCTGCATGCAGCTTCCCTCCCCTCCATGCAAGATTGCTCACTGAGGTGCAAGACATGATCCATATACGCCAGGTATATGACTCATATAACCATCTTTTATTTGTTTGGTTGGCTTTTTGTTTTGTTTCTTTTGTTTTTTGTTTTGTTTCTTTTTCTTTAAAAGCAACATCAGGTGTTTTTCTATGTTTTCAGACTCTGTACAGGTCTCAAAAGGAAATAAGCAATGCTTAATGTACAAAGTAAAACCAGAAAACTAGAAAAATCTGAATAAAATGGAGCAAGTTGCTGTCAGGGATACAGTACAAATTAGTAATTAGATGTCATCTGAAGTGCAATACCACTGCAGTAAGGATGAGTCAAGGAATGAAATAAAAATACTCTATTTTAAACAAACAGTATATATATATATTTATATATATATATTTATATGTATATATTTTACAGATAGTAGACCCAGTGATATCTGTAGAATTGTAAAAACATATTTACAAGTGACTTCTTTTAAAACATTACATGTACATCAGCACCATAGTAAGAAAGAAAGAAAAAAAAGCCCAATCAACCCGAATCTAATAAAATCTGTTCTCTAGTACTTGATCCCAGTGTGGAGTATTTGGAGGAAGCTTTACAAAGACAACAGAGACTCGCCTTGACCACCATTCATCACCAGGGCCTGTATCTCCCCAGTGCACACGGGCTTGCATTGGCAGCTGTGTGGTGGGTGCGTGTTTCTGTTCCCCTTTCCACCTCTGTGCTGGGAGGTGAGCCCTGGTGGGCTCCTCCCAGGGTCTGCCTGTCCCTTCCAGTCTGCCCAGGAGATGCTGACCCACAGGATGAACCAAAAACTCTCCTGGTGCTCCCTTCCAATGAATCAGGGCCCAACCTGGCTCCTACTGAAGCAGCAGGCATGCTAATCATGCTCATCATCCTCAGCAGGAACTGGGATTGGCCCTTGTGCTGTATTTTATAAAGGGGTCAGCTAAAAGAGATGAGATTAAAGCCATTTTAAAAAATGTAGCAGCCAGGGCAGGTTGGATTGGTGGCTCATCTTTAGCACATTAAAAATGCAGCTTGTCCTGCTGCCTCGCAGCATTCAGAACAGGTGATTCCCCCCACTAGGCAAGCCCAGCAAGGGAAATTGCTCAAAAGGGAGCCTCAAGGGGGCACAGAAGATGGTTCCAGACTCATCTGCTCTCCCTCTTTAATGTGATGCCTGTCTGTGCTCCACAGGGAAAGGCAGGACATGAAAGTGCCCAGTGCCAAGGCCCTTAGCCTCCCTGGAACTCAGGGGCTCAACACTTGGCACTGCTGTGGCCAAGGAGAACAGCACAAAGGGAGGTGACCAGGAGCTGGGGAATTGGGATGGGCACTGGCACACTGCTGCAGAGCACAGCTCATGGCTCTCAGAGGCCAGCACTGGGCCACAGGGTGCTACAGCTCTGGACTGTGGGTCATGTTAACATTTTTTATATGCACAACTACATAACCTGATACGCAGCCCTCAGCTGAAAACACTACAGAGGCAATGGGTTCCAGAAAACAGCCTCCAACTGCAGTTTGGGAACCTGCTGTACACACTCAGAATGGCTGGTGACTTCAGTGTTGTGTGAGATCTATAACAACTTCATCACAGGTCCAAACAGTGGAGACAGTGATACATCCTTATTATCTAAAACCTTATTGGGGCAGATCCCATGCTTGCAATATCAATTATTTTACCCACTCATGAATGTTCTTTACAGTAGTCCCTCACTGACTCCTGTTCTTCAAGTACTGCAGTGAATTTTATTCCAGCAAACCAGAGAGATTAGACCAAACATCTGTTTAAAACTGAATGTATCACATTGAGAGCCCAGACACCGTGGGGTAGTGCTACCTGCCAAACCTGGGCTTTTCAAGAGGGGAGGAGAAGGTCTTCCTGTGTGCCAAACCCTCCCTGTGTGTTTTCTCATGCCTGTTTTATCCTCCCCTGCCTGGCCCTCTGTGGCTTGCCTGAAAAAAAAGTGCAGCCAGCTCAGCTGGCTTCACACTGCAGGAGCAGGAGGGGAAGGGAGGGAACTGAGAGCACCCTGGGGAGGAAGCAGAGGGAGGCACCAGTGAGGAGCTCTGCTAATGCCCCTTGGTACCTCTCAGCCCTTCAGCAGCCCAGACAGCTGGGCCATGCCAAGTGCTCTGGCTTGGGAAACATTATTTCAAGTCCCAAGGGGACTAAGCAGTTCATTAAGTTAACCCAGCACTGGGCTGTCCCCAGCAGCAGTCACATAATCAATCTGCCCTCACAACACTGCCAGATTTATGTTCTTCTGCACTTGCAGTGGGGTTTATCACTGTGCAGTGAAAACGGTGACCTCCCTGTGACTGTTTAGGTTTGCCATGTGAGTGTTGTGCATTTCCTCAGGACAGCCCAGCCAGCCCCATCGGCCTGGCCATGGCTGCCCCAGACCTGTTTGCCCCATTTCTGACCAGGGCTGTGCTATCACCCCTGAGTGTCAGCAGGCTTTGCTCCCAGCTCTTCCCTCTGCTTCCCTGGAAGCTGCAATGTGCACAGTCAGAAGAGATGGGACGTACCAGGACCCCCCTCACCACTGTGCAATGAAGCCTTGTTTTGAGTGGGGGGAGAAGGAATCTTCCCAGCCACACACATCAGCTGGCTTTTCCAGTTTCTCCATTCTGACACACGCGCACACACACAGAGAGTGGGCACTGCCACACAACAAGGATTGCTTGGTGACAGTTTTGGGATGTTGATGTTTTCATCGTCCCCTGAATCTTCCAAAGTTGGCTACAGATCAGCTTGGTTTGTACAGTTAAAAACAAAAACACCCCAAAATAACCCCAAACCAACACAAAAACCAACAATGCAGGGATGGGGAGAACATCTGACTTCCTCTTTGCTTGTTCAAGCGTAACAAAACATAACCAAAGCTCCAGACTATACAATCCCATTCACTGGGGGTTTCCAAACAACTCATCAAGTTCTTGAATCCACTCATCCCCTGGTCCGCTTTTAATAATGGAGTCCACAAGGTCTGTGCCCTCTGCTAAACTGGAGAATGACCCCCCTGCTCCTCCATTACTGTAGTTGTAAGATATGTCCTGAGTGGGATTCCTCTCATAGGCCGGGCCTTGGCTGCTCTGAGCAAAGGTTCCAGCTGGCATTTGCTGCGTTGGGGGCTGGCTGAAGCCCGGCATGGCAGGCACCCCTTGGCTCATTGCTGGCATCCCCACGGGCCTGGCCTGGCTGCCTGCCTGCTGCCCAGGCAGGGGCTGCAGCAGTGGCCTCCCCAGGGCCGGGTTCACGGCCCTCACGGTGCCGCTTGAGTCCATGACAGTCTGGCTGAGGCCCTGAGGGAAGTGCTGCTTGGGCACCCGCGGCTGCCCCGCTGGCACGGCGTACGCGGTGCCGTTGCTGAAGGGCCCCATGTCGCCACTAGTCCTGCCAGGTACGCCGTGCAGGCCTCGCTGCTGCCAGCTCTGTGCTCCCTGAGGGACAGGCCCCATCAGGTTCTGAAGTCGTGGCGCTTGCGGCCTCGGCAAGCCCTGGCCCACAGGTCCTTTCATCTGCTGCTGATGCTGGGGAAGAGCAGAGTTCACCAGCATGTTCTGACCAAAACTTCCAACCATTCCCACTGCTTGTCCAGAGGCAGCCTGCTGTGCCCCCTGGCCCGTGCTCTGCGCCAGGTTCATGCCACTTTGGTTTGGGTGCTGCAACACTTGGCTCATGCCCGTGCTGATGCTGTACATTCCTGGCTGGCTGGCAGAGGCGTTGCTGTAAGGAGTCACTCCCACATCCGACTGGCCTGCCGTGGTGAGCAGCGTGCTGGAGCTCTGGGAGGCACCCATGGCCATCATGCTCGCATTCTGGGCCATCATTCGGGATGTTCTCATGCTCTGCAGGGCTACCTGGTTCCTCACAGCCACCATATCCTGGGGTGAACCTGCACCAAAAAGGGAGGAAGGTAAGGAAAAGCCCACAGACCTGCAAATCTTAATTAACGCACTTTTGCATAAGAGACAATCTGTAGGAGCATCCTCAGCAGCATTTATCTTCTTCAGCTACACCTAATTCAGCTTCTAGTAAGCAAATGGAAAAACTTCCATGGGTCTTCTTTGAAGCAGCTGAACTTCACTTTACGATTTGAAGGTTTCCATTAAATATCTTCATTGTCGTTCAAAACTAAGCCTTGAAAATGGAAATGTCAGTCTCAGAAGGCCAATCAATTCTTTTAATAGCTCAGGAGGCATTAATGAATGGATTTTCTATAGCATAGCTACTGATTAATTCTATGGAAAGAAGAAAAATCGGGTTTTTGTGGACATTTAAAGCAGGGAGAGTGTATTAGTGAATCAATACTATAAGCACATTTTACTTCACCTTAGGCCAGTGATGGGAAACCAGAAGATCCTAGCCTTGTTAAATTCCACACCGTGACAGATAACTTAACCATGCTTGTGTCTTACTTTCAGGGGTAGGGGAGAGCTATTGATTTCTGGGAAGCCAATATGCTTCTATATTTACTATCTTTAAATAAAGACAGTTACCTGGAGCTCAGATTACACCATGGGTCCATTGTGGATTTGAGTCACTACCAAATACACCAGTCAGAGTCACTAACTAAATAGTCAGATTCTGCAGATTTGAGTCACTGACTAAATACAACACTCTGCAGGTGAAGCTCAGAGTGTCTGAGGCACACAACTTCTGCAGGCCCAAATGTTATTAAATGCCAGGTATAAATATGAAATCATTGCTTAAGGGTTCAGAACTGTACAACAGAATCTGAATGTTCTTAAATCAGCTCCTATTGGTTGTCCCTCAGTGGCAGACAACAGAACACTGGTCCCTGTTATTGATGCTGGCTTGGTTTCCATGAGAAACAGGTGGATAAAGGAAGCACCATTTCTATACATGTAATTCTATTATATAACAGAGGATGGCTACAACTCCATTTTCTGCAGCACCACAAGCTTCTGGTGGATGCTTTTAGCTCCAACACACAGCTGGAAATGAAACATTTTGTAGCATGAAGTGAGACCATCTGGATCTCACTGGAACAGGCCATGTGTAGTGGCAGCTTTTACTTTATTCATGCTATCAAACTGCTTTTTTAATGATTGGCACTGGGGTTCCCATTTTTCTTAACTTAGATCAGCTGTTTTTATGATTAGAAAAAGTCTTTTTATGATGACTCGAGCAAGTGCTTAAGATACAGATAATGTAAAAATCTTAATGCATCTTTAGCTATTTTTTAATTGAGAATGGCAGTTGAAAAGCTCCAAAAGAGTCACTAACAGCAAGAGGCTCACATACTACTTTTGTTAACTACTGTACGTGGCATAAGTGACGGGAGATCAGACAAGGAGCAGTTAAATGAGAGTTGCAACAGATGCCAAGGTTTTAGGCCACCTTCTGGTCTCATTTACACATAACCTACTGCACTGGATTACATTCATGTGACTAAAAAGGAAGAAATGGTGAACTATTTAAATTAGTTCATTTATGAAAATGAACTCATTGCTCTGTCAGATTAGCCTAAACTCTTCTCTCTTTATTTTAAATAATACATGCAAAGGCAGTGTTTCAAAGAAGCATGAATGCAGAGAGATTGTATGTATGCATCTCAGTGGATGGCTGTGCACTCACACTTCTTGATTTTGGAAATGAATTATTGGGGAAAAAAGTAATTCCATACAGAACTTATGGTGCCAAAGATAAAAATGAGGATGTGATTAGAAGAGGCCACCCTGATATATGCCAGCAGAAGATGTGGCTGCCTGTTCACATCCTGGGAACCAGAATGGCAATCTGGAATGTCCAGAACTGCCTCCCTTGTTTTCTGTTGCATCTACATGGTATTACCATGAATATACAGCACAAGTGTGTGTTCATTTAATGTCTATATAGAAATCATGGTTAGTGAAGACTTCAGCTGATGCTTTTCACCTAAAAAGCTCAGAATTAACTTCTTTTCCTAAGCCAAAATGAGTGCACTTACATCCTTCAGTTACCTAGGAGCACATCAAAATAATACTTGTGCTTTTTTTGAGATAATTTAAAAAACCCTCTATTTACATCTCATATATTTTACTGTGTTTCCCACACCTGACATTTATCAGTCTCTTCTCTAGATAAGGATGACCTCTCTTAAATTCTCTGCTCGTTGAATTAGATAAAGTGGGGAATGAAGGAGGGGCAAAACCAAGATAAACTCAGAAATGCTAGCAGGAAAAAAACTCATAAGAGTAGGGGTCAACAAGATAAATCTATGAATGAATCCATGACATCTGGATGTTAAAGAGGCAAAACAAATGTCATTAAAAAAAAGGGGGGGGAAAAAAGGGGGAAAAAAAGAAAAAACAAGCAGTTTTCACTGAAGAGAGCAGAAAGGAAAATACAAACTTAACTGAATATGCAAACTTGGGCATTTGTCTTTGGTAAAATATGTGGTGTGTGCAACAGCCTGTATTCCTCTTCTGGCACACTGCTTTAAACCTGGTAGTCACAAACTGCATAAGCCTTCACACATTTGCTACCTTTAGGGCATTGACTCTAAAACAGGAAAAACAACTGGACTTTTACCTTGGAATTGGTTGACCTGTTGCACTGGATATGGGCTTCGCTGCTCATGCAAATGCTGCCGAGGCAAATGTGACTGCTGCTGCATCTGCTGAAAATGAAGGACAGAAACAAAGCAGAAGAGGAAGAGATGATTAATTAATTAACAGGCTGGTGGCAAAACTGCAGAACCTGCAGTGGTTCTTATTTGGTGAGGTGTTCTGGAGAGACAGGCAGAGTCATCTGGAGTCCTCCTCAGAGCACCTGGGCTACTCAGCACTCAGACTCTTTTTGGCTCAAAAAGGAACATGCACTGAGGCCAACACCATCATCACTCCTTGCTTACAGCCATTTCACCCTGACCTCTACAGCATGAGCTGAACTGTCTTCAGGCAGAAAGGAGAGGGAGGGATATGAATTAACTTTGCCCATCTAAGTCTAAGGGCAGCTGTAGCCACACACACACCTTCTTTCCCTCAGCCCTGCCAAGGTCTAGAGGCTTGAGCTCCTGGTGCAAGGCTTTGCTCCATGTCTGCACTTATAACACTCAGCTGCAAGCATTACTGCATCCTGACCCAAGCACTGCAGCCTTGGAGCATTCCTGAGCCAAAACAGAAAGGGATTACTAAGGCACATTCCCTCTTGTGCTTCAGTGAATGATATTTGGGGAGTGGTGACTGCCAAATGCAGGGGAGAGGACCCGTGACTGTAACTGCAGCTGAGTCTGCCTCTGCTGGACTAAGTGCACCACTAGATGCCAGGTTAAGAGCTAACTTTTCCAGTGCCTAAAATCCAATGTGACTATTGGAAAAACGGGTAATATTTGCCAAGCTAATGGTAGGGCTGATTGTTGCCTCTTCTTTGACAAGCATTGCTGAAATACCCTGACAGGACCCACAGAGATAATTCCCAAATCTAGAAGGAAGAGCTGGTGCTAGATGCTCTGGAGACAGATGGATACCGTACCTGCTCCGCCAGGATCTGCTGCTGCTGCTGCTGCTGTCTCTGCTCCCGGAGAAACTGCTGCTTCTGCTGCTCCATCACGTGGAGCTGCGCCCTCTGCTCCATCAGCATCTGCTTCATGAGGGCTGCCTGGGGCTGGCTGCCCAGGAAGTGTCCCCCGGGGCTGGAGCCTGTGCCCATGCTGCTGGAGCCCGCCGGCTGCAGGGGCCGCGGCACTCCTGCCTGGTGCTCCTGTGCACAGAGAGAGAGAGGGAATGCATTGTTACTGTACTGCCTGGTGCTCCTGTGCACAGAGACAGAGACAGGGAGTGCCTCATTAACGGCTGCTGCATAGGCAGGGAATGCAGCTCTCCAGGCTGAGGTGGCACACAGGCTGTGTGTGAAGCCTGGAGCTTGGAGAACAAGCCATGGACTGCTCCCCACAGGGAATAGGTTCCCCTTTTCTCCTGTAATTCAAAGCCCCTCAAGTAAAGCAGGAGCACTTTATAATTAATTACTAGTGAAACAATGAAGTTGTGAGCTAAGTTTTTTCCCTGCTTCAGAGTAATGTTTTTCTAAACTTTTTCTCCTTTCTCAAGTAGAATGTTATATTTTCTCTTCCTTTCAGTTTCCCTCTCTTCATTTAACATAGCAATTTACCATGGCCCCCTGGATTGAGGAGCCAAGGTGTTGGGCACACACAATGAACAGTGGGAGCTGGCAGCACTAATTCCTCTCCAGAGCCTCAGGATTTAACTCCTTTATGTCTTTATTCAAGATTTCCATCCTGCAGCACTGCACCAGTGTGTGTGGCTGGGAGGACTCAGGGCAAGCGCCTTCCCTGCACACACGCCACTCTCTCTTCGTGTTCTGAATCCAATTTGCTGCCTTTTAGTGCTGGGAAAAGCACTGAGGAAAGGTCAGGAGGGAGGGAAATCCCATGCACGTCCCGAAGGGAGGGAGGGAAGGGAGGGAGGGGAGGAAGGAAGGAAGGAAGGAAGGAAGGAAGGAAGGAAGGAAGGAAGGAAGGAAGGAAGGAAGGAAGGAAGGAAAAGGAAGAGGAAGGAAGGAAGGAAGGAAAAGGAAGGAAAACGGAGCGGTGTCCCGGCGCTGCCGGCAGGTGGCGCTGCTGACCCGCGGCCCGGCCCGGGTGGAGCCGAGCGGTGCCGCCGCTTCCCGGGGCCTCGGGAGCGTTCCCGGGACTCGCTGCCGGCCTCCGGAGCATTCCCGGGACTCTGCGAGCCCCCCTGCCCCAGGCTGGCTGTCCCGCGGCCCGGGCAAACCGGCCTCACCGCCAGCGCTCGCTGGGGGCTCGGCTCGCACCACGCCGCTCTCGATGCCGTGTTTGCAAACTGCGGGCCCGGTCCCTATCTCGGGTGATAAGAGCCCGTAGAACCTCTTTAACCGATGAATAGAGACGGCAGGTACTTATTCAAAGCCACCAACTCGATGGAAAGGATCTGTATCGCTTTAGCATCCTTTGTGCAAGGCCTGCCAGGGTGAGGTCTGGATTCACCTGCCTCGCTGGCTTTTGAGTTTTGCCATCACTGTGTGATCTGGGTGTACAGAAAGGGCATCTTGCAGCACCCACGCCACCCACTCAGGGAAAGGGTTAAGTTCAATGCTGGAGTGTACCTTGGGAAATGAGGGTCAGCCTTTCTGCATGAGGGTCGGGTTTTCAAGGACTCTCCCATGGAAATAACAAATACAATTTGTCCACATCTCTACTTTTCACAGATACTCCCTGAAGGGCTCTGCTGAAAGGCAGCTCTCCAATATTTAGGTTCTTTCCCTTTTAACATCTATATTGGCTTGAAAGTTCTCTCCCTGTTCCTCTTTCTACTTCTCCCCCAGTCACATCACCCACTTTGCATTTTACAGCCTGGTCCAGCACAGTCCCTGCAGCACCCTAAGGCCAGGGCTGCAGCAGTGGCTGGGTCTGCCCCAAGCTGAGGTCCAGGAATCACTGAGGATCCCTCGGCTGCTCCTGCAGCAAACCCTTCATCAAACCCACCCCTGTTGCTGAGCTCCTACTTGCTTTGCTTTGGGGGAACACACACATTTATTGGCTGTCTCCAGCAGAGCTGATGGCAAAAGCCTTTTCCTACCACCCCTGGCCCTCCCCCAGCTTCTGATGAAGTCATCAAGCTCCCAGTTGCTTAACTGGTGCACAGGACTATCCTGTGTTATATTGGGATCATGGCCAACTGCTTCCATTTATAGACAAAAGCAAGGCCATGCTGCCAAATAATGGAGCCTTTGCTGCAGCCACCACAAGGTGAAGAAAAAGGAGGGGGAAGCCCCCGGAGCCGAGGGGCATGCTGTGACATCCCTTGGAGCTTCCTCTGCTAGCTTCAGTGCTCAGCTGCCTTTGGGGCTGCAGCCCAAGTCCTCTCTGAATTGCCTAAAAACAAACCTTCCTACAGAGCTTCTGTCCTGGCTCCCAATGCACACACAGGTACAGCTGAGGGACAGCTCACTCCACACAGAAAGCACTCCATTCTCTGATGAATTATGTTATAAATTAATGCTGGAGGTTAAAAGGAAGACAGTTTTGAAAGGAGCCCCACCAGCTGACGTGAGCCCGGTGAACTGGGCAGCAGCTGAAGGAAACAGAAGATTAGCACACAGGTGTCACTTCCAGTGTTGTGTGTTCAGTCATTTCGAGGTACATCATGAAAACTTCCTGTTGCTTTTAAAGCCAGTCCTTCATCTAGACCACCCTCCTGCCTAGAACATTTCTTCACCTTTTCATTTTGTTCTTGGCAAAAACTCTTCCCAACCGATGCTGAAGAGCCCTTCTGAGATCACTGGGAGCAGCTCTGCATTGTGTGTCCTGTAAATAAGAGCACAGCCCAGGCAAAGAGTGTCTGCAGGAAAATGCTCCCCAGCCCCTGGAGCAGAGCTCTGTCCCCAGAGCTGTAGCCCTGCAGCTGGCACTGCTGCTGTTGTGCTCCAAGGGGAGATGGCACCTGGCAGTGTGGCAGGAGCTGGGCACGGAGGGAGCAGCACTGTGCTCCACAGGGCTGCCTGCTGCAAGCCATGGCAGCTCCAGACCCAGACGCAGCCTCACACAGGGGCTGAACACTGAGTCAAACAACTCAGGCTGAGTGCAGCACCTTCACATTTACAGAGCTTAAAACCCAAACTAATGCAAGCTTCACTGACAGCCCTTTTTGCTCCTGCTCTGCCTGACTGTTCCCACATCCTCCTACTGCACCCTGAGCCTTCCTGCTCCTCCTCCTCATTCTTCGCTATCCCTTTCTCCTTCCTACACCCTATGCCTTTTCCTCTCTCCACCAACCGGCACTGCTGCCTCTTGCTGCACTCCAGACACCCCCATCAGCCCCCAGCCTGTGGCTGCATCTCACCCCTCTGATGTGCCCATGCACACAGCTTGGCTCACCCTGCAACTCCAGGGATCTGCAGCAGCAAGGGCACTGCCCAGCTCCTGCCCTGTGCCCAGGCTGCTCTGTGGGCAGCTGGTCCCTGAGGACAGTGACAAGATGCCCTGGAAGTGGAAACACAGATTGTGTTCTCAGCTCATGCTATCTGGGAAAGTGGTACAATTTGATTTCTCACTTGTCGCTCTGGTTCTGTTTAACGCCATGCAAAGCCGCTGTGTGCTGCTCTCAGGCTGCAGACAGCTCTCTCCTGCTCGCCGTGGCTCAGCAGAGTCACAGGCATTCCAGCGGGGAGCAGCGGTGCTGCAGCTCACTGCAGGGCCCTCGCCCAGGCACAGGTGAGGCCAAGGGCTGCTAACATAAAGGGACAATGGTGCCAAGGGCCTCAGCTGTGACACAGAGCAGGTTCAGGCCCTGCATCAGCCTCCCGGCAGCCCTCCTGCCCCTGCAGCCTCAGCTGCCCACTTTTAAGGCAGCCCAGGACAGAATTAAGAGCTTGGCCCCTGGGAACAAAAGCAGGGATTGAAGGAGCCAAAGAGCTGCCTGTTCCCAGAGCTGGAATGTGACCAAATGGCCAACATTTCCAAATGGTCAGCAGTTCCAAATGGTCAGCACAGCACACCTGGACAGGCCTGTAGGTTTGGACAGGTGCAGGGCAAGATGAACTTGTGCAGGGATCTGACTGCTCACTTAATGCCTCCACAGGAGTTGCCCCCTATGGATAAGCCAATCCTTAGTTAAGCAGCAGGAAGATAAATCCTGTGTCCTCCCAGTGAATTTCCAGGGCTCTGCTGGTGTGATGGAATACTCTGCAGGAGCTCAGAGTAACATATGTGTGATATGTACAGTTATGCACAGTAAAATGATAACAAAGGGAAGTGGAAACGACATTTTCCTCTTTGTCTCAAATCTTTCGTGCCTCTTCCTTATCATGCGGTGATTTATTCCTTGCACATGTCATTCAATCCCCCAACTGCAGCCAAAAGCAATCACGCAATTTCCTTGCAGAACAAGCAGAACGAGCACCAGCTGAAGCCCCAGGAGCCAGGTGGGGACACCCAGGCCTGCCCATTGTCCATCCCTCTGTGCACAGACTGGTGTATTTGGAGGAGCCAGCTCTGCTCCTGCTGAAGGCCGGGGGCCAAAGTGGCACCTCAGGGAAAAGGGGGCTGTTCCAGGCAGCTACTGGCAGGAATCAACAGAGGATGGGCATTCCACATCTCTGAGCTAAGCACTGCCCAACAAGCTGCAAGAGACATAGACTGGAGAGCAGGGTTGGGAATGTGTAAAAGAGACGAACAAACATAATTTTCTGTGCTGTTCTGTGTCATGTGAGCAAATGGATATTGAATATAAAAAGCAAATAGAAGCCAGGAGGTAGCTTATCCTGCACACTGCATCAGAAGAATGACACTTGAAAAATGTATGCAATCAGACATCTACATTTTAGAGTCAGAGCAGAAAAAGTAGACAAAAAAATGATTTGTGGCAGAAAATGCCTGCCAGCGAGTGACTTAAAGAGCTCAATCCATTTAGCTTACCACAAAAAGAACGGACAGATGCTTTTGACCATGGTGGATAAAAATACCTTCATGAGGGAAGAAATTCCTTAAAGAGCTCTTTTATCCAGCGAAGAAGGCAAAACCAGATACAAGGGCTGGAAGCTGAAGACAGATTCAAATCAGAAAGAAGAATCACATTTTTACCCTCTGATTCTGTTACCTATCAGAAATGGCAGATCTCCACCATTTGAAGGGTGCACGCCCTTGTGGATAAACACAGCACCAGTGCAGTGGGATGGGTGTGATGCTCAAGGTGATGTGCAGGGCTGATGAACAGCCCTGCTCT